GCTTAGGGCTGCTATCGAAGCATCCTGGGCCTCCATAACACCTCCTCAGTGCCACAGGCTGATTGCCTCCATGCCACGCCACATTGAAGCAGTCATTTCTGCAAAAGGATTCCCCACCAAGTATTGAGTGCATAACTGAACATAATTATTTGAAGGTTGACTTTTTTGTATTAAAAACACTTTTCTTTTATTGGTCGGATGAAATATGCAAATTTTTTGAGATAGCGATTTTTGATTTTTCTTTACTTTTGTAGTGATATGCTGTCCATGTTATGGACAATTGCTAAATCATAAATTCCTCGTAATTTATTAGCATAATAAAAGGGGCACCACCTGGTAATCCAGGAAATTAATTTATAGATCTTAAGTCAGTCTCAAATACTGAATAGTGAATTCTACCAGTTTAAAGAGCAAAACAAAATAATGAATGCACAGACGAGCTATTTCAAAATATATCTTGTATTAATTGATTCAGAGGTAACAATACAAACAGATTATTTGGCAACAGAAACCATTATTATCAAGACCTTGAGGTTTAATAATAAGCGTCACTTTATCACCTTTTAATCATCTCTAGCAKCATTCTAACTGAACCACTTAAGCTAGTCTACACTAACAAATTAAGAAAAAACTTAAAGACTAATAAAAGGAAGAATTAATCCATCTAGCAAAGACTGACGTAAATTATAAAAAGGACCAAGTTATGTGGTGGAAACACAACTTGCGTTAATTCCAACTTGTTGCATTCACATTAAGAGAGCACACCGCAGATTACCGTGGGATTCAGCGTAGCTCACCGAAGCCATCCTCAGACCTCTTGGGCACTTTGCAAGGGTTCAGACCAACAGCCTTGTCTTACCTCTGGTTGAAGGTTTGCTTTGGACTGGCAGACAAAGTCCCGTTTAGATAGTCTGGCGCTCCGATAGGGGTTGGCAAACCTCTCAGCTCACACACACTCGACACCCTTCGCAGCTTCTGCTGGGTCCTGACTGTCAATTTAGAATCCTACGCAACTTTGCTTCCTCCCAAATAACTCCGTCAAAAGTACAAAAATAAAATAAAATAAAATAAAATGAAAAATGTCCCCTAAGGGAAAACTGGAGCTAATCGTCTCACTTCTTCACTTCATGCTGCTTCTTTCAGTCTCTTCTTCTGACTGACTGCTGATAAACTGGTCCTATTGTTGACTCTGAAAAACTCATGATTGGCTGAAAACAGTCACATGACCTGCCTTCCTCTTCACAGTCTCTCGCCACTAAAATTGATTATACACACAGAGGTAGATTGCTTGTGAAGTGATTAAAACAGTACATCGTTTCAAATGATTGAATCACGTAGAAAATACAATAATTCTTTTCTCCTTTTTTTTATCAGAATGAGAAAAACAGAAAAACATTTGTTCGTGATGTAATTATGAAACCAGTCTTTTGGGGGCGCTCTAAAACCATAAATGAGATGTATGGTAATGAGATGGATCTCTTTGAAGCCAAGGGTAGGTGTTACATCTCAGCAAGAAATCTGGCCTCAAAGAGGGTTTCACTGCAGCAGACCCACTCCTGCTAGACATCATGTCTGCAAAGATCTTGAGTTCTTTGTGATAAGCGGCCATTTTGAGCACATCAAAGGGGTTCTTACACAGTACTCAATCAACAGGAGGTGGTCACGTCCGGTTGCTATCTTACCACTTGTAGATAGTAAACAAAGCTTGTAGGTAAATGAATAAGTCATTGTTCTCTTGTAGACATGGGGACGAAGAATGTGTTGGCCAAAGTTTTGAGGACTGACAGTCCACCTAAGTTACTGCTACACTTTTTTGCCAAAATCATCAATATTAAAACAATAAAAGGCTTGAACTACTTCAGTTGGTGTGTAATGAATCTAAAATATATGAAAGTTTAATGTTAATCGGTACATTACAGAAAATAATTAACTTTATCACAATATGCTAATGTTTCGAAAAGGACTTGTTTTTGTATGTATATATATATATATATACACTCACCGGCCACTTTATTAGGTACACCTGTCCAAC